CCAAAGCAGGCTGAAGACTATCATCCCAAAGGGAAAGGAAATATATTGTTTAAAATTTGGTGATACACTTTTCAATTAAAATCTATTGACATATTATTTAATCTGTATTCTGGAATCTTGTTACAACCAATTTTCTTTTCTTTTTTGGGGGGGGGTGGTCAGGGATAGGAAGTAAGTCATATTTTGCTAAAATGAAGTTATCATTTCAATAGGACTTAAATATAACCAATATAGCTTGAAATAATGGAGCAGTGACAAGATCTAAGGTACATTTTCTTGTAAGAAGTTTCTTTTAAAATGATCGGTCGTGACAGAACGTTAGTTCTGTTACATTATTGAAACATAGCTACCATCATCCCAAAGCTTAGTTATAATTTGACACATAGAAGTTTTCAATATATGGTAACTGCTATTTAGTACTATTATTATTATGCTATTTTTTCAAGAGAAAATGGAATAGTGATTAAGAGAGTGGACTTCCAGCCAGTGTAGCTGAGTGGATTGAGCATCAACCCATGGACCAAGAGGTCGCCGGTTTGATTTCCAGTCGGGGCACATGCCCGGGTTGCAGGCTCGATCCCCTTTGTGGGTATGCAGGGGGCAGCCAATTGATGTGGCTCTCTCATTGATGTTTCTATCTCTCTCACTCTCCCTTCCTCTCTCTCAAAAAAGCAATAAAAATGTTTTTTTTTTTTTTTTTTAAAGAGAGAGAGTGGGTTTCCCTATCATGCTGCTTCTCTGATACTAACTCTCTGATATCGAGAAGCCAGGTGCCCTCTGTGGTGTAGTTTCCTCCACTCAAACATCTGGAAATTGGAAAAAAATACACAACATAGATGTATGAAGAGAACTAAATAGAAACTGTACGTGAAATGCTTAAACCGATGTTGGACACACAGCAACAATTCAATTAATGGTAGGAACATGCAAAGGATTTCTTTCTTAAAAACCACATTGTGTAGTGGAAAGTCTATTATGATTGTCATATATTGTTCCTCCCAGAAAAACAACCAAACAAACAAGCACGCGTAGTTCTAGGAGAAATAGTACCATTGTGGGATGGGGGTTACACCATAAATACTTATTAAAATATGACTATATTCATCATTAAAAAAATAAGACAAATAAGGGTTAGAGAGCTTGAGTAACTTGTTTAAAACCACATGATAAGTAAAAACTGGAATCTGAATGCTGTCTTTCTGACTCTGTGACATACTTTTCTCTTAGACTGCCTCTCATTAAGTAAGGCAGAGACCTCTCGTCTCTTCATTTTTCTGTATTAATCTCTATAGTACCTTTAAACTTTTTGGCTAACTTTGGCTAATGCCTAATTCTGGTGTCTATGAAGCTATTAACATTCTGAAATCTTCATGTCCATTGTCCTACCCTTTTCAATCCTTTTCTTCTTGTGCCCACAGAGCTAAAAGGAGCCTACTTTGTAGAATATAGGCCTCAAGAGGAAAGCGGTTTTAAGAACATTAGGTAGCAAAACTGTGTGAAACTTTTGGAGTGTATTTTGAACCCAGCTGCCTCCAGAACTGAATGCATAGTGTTTTGACATTTTCTCTTCATTTCTAAGGACGTCAGAATAAAATATTTTTAAAGTGGTATGGAACCCTAAGATCCTTCTCTGATAATTAAACACACTTAATTAAAAATAATTTTGTCAAGTGGAAAATAATATTCATGTGAACACTTAAAGTATTCACTAATGCGTTGACATGAAAATTCAGTCCTACTAGCATTGATTTTGAGCTTGTATTTTCAACTGGGCTACCTTAGGATGATTACAATACTAGTTTTTGAAGAAATGGATATCCTCAGATAACATATCACCGAGGTCAGTTCAAAGGCTATGATTAAAAGGAGAAATTGAAATTCAAATTCATCTTACTTTTCCTTGTGTCTTTTTATTAGGTGACTGCATGCAAGTGGAAAGGAAGATATTCATCAAAAAATAATTGCCATCATTTTTCAAAGATGTTGAGAAGAAAAAAAGTTAAAGGTTGGCAACCCAGCATTTTGGAAACTTTGCTAAATCTTTGAAATTTCAATGTGAACTGTAGGAAGCATGCAGGAAAAGAGCGAAATAAGCAGGTTTCATTGTATTTAATTTGGCCTCTTAAATATAACATGATGGAGCTTGTAACCTAGAAATATTTTCTTAGGTATATTCACTAGGGAAGGTAAGCATAATTACAGCTGCTCAGACTTCATGCAAACTAAATTGGCGTTATGGACAATTAATCTTTTGAAACATTAAGATACCTCTGTAATTTCTCACTTTTGTAAAAAGTAAAAGGAAAGCAACATAAATCAAACCTTTAGTTAGTAGGCCAGAATTTTACTTAATTGACAATGTAAGACAAAGCGTCACTAAATTTTTATAACTTTGGGACAACCCATAATTCACAACAGTCTACATAGTCCTGAGCATGCATAATTATATTCTAATTCTTACCTCAGAGAATTTTTTTTTTAAAGTGGAATTGGGATTTTTTTTTCTTTTTCCTTTTTTTTTTCAGTAAGTTTGATGAAGGTAACTCATCAAAGTGTTGGGATTTCTTAGAATAAAGTGATGTTTTTAACCTACTCTCTAGCACCCATTCATGTGCTGAATAAAACAAACCAAAACATGGTTTCAGTGATCTTGATAAATTGGAAATAAGGAGGTTAGTTTCTATGGACCTAGCAAAATTAGTAAACTTTATATTTTATTATTTAATTTTTTTTTTTCCTTTCTTGATTTAAGAGCAAGAGGAAGGGAGAGGGAAAAAGAGAAACACTGATGAAAGAGAACATCAATTGGCTGCCTCCTGCATGCCCCCCTCTGGGGATTGGGCCCACTACCTGAGCAGATGCCCTGACTAGGAATTGAACAGGCAACCTCTCACTCAGTGCATGGGTCAAAACTCAACCACTGAGCCATACCGGCCAGGCAGTAATCATTTAAAATTAACTTTCTTATTGTGTTCTAATAAGAAATAGTTGATCCTGGCCCAAAGCTTCTCAAACCTTTGGAATTTCCAAAGTGATAGGAGTGTCTTTTGCCATTCATTAGGTGTGCCTTTTGAGTTGATGCTAATGAAGTGACTTAGGGTTAGGTCCCTGGACAGTCTGGATGAGGTGATCACCAGAAAGACTCGTGATTAGAAGGTTGGGACTTTCAGGCCCTGGAGGAGTAGCTCAGGTGGTTAGAGTGTTGCCCTAATACACCAAGGTTGCAAATTTGATCCCTGGTCAGGGCACATACAAAGAATCAACCAATGAAAGCATAAATAAGTGAAACAGCAAATTGAGCCCCCCCACCCCTAAAATGAGTTAGTTTTTAAAAAGTTGGGAATTCACCTCCACCCAAGCTCTAGGAAGGGGAATGAGGGAGGGTGGCATTAGGTTCTATAAAAACTCTTGTACATCAGTATTTGATAAGCTTCCAGGCTGGTAAACCAGATGCATCCACATGCCAGGAGGGTGGCATACACCAAACTCACCAGGACAGAATCTCTGGTATTTGGAACCCTTCCAACCTCATTCAATGTGTCTCTTCATCTGGCTATTCATTTGTATCATTTGATATCTCTTGTAACAAACCAGTAATCTAATACGTAAACTGGTTTTCCAAAATGCCATAAGCCACTCTAGGAAATTAATGGAATCCAAGGAGGGTATCACATGAACCTCCATTTTATAGTCAATCATCAAAAGGACAGGTGACATCAGATATGGGGGCAGTCTTATGGGACTGAGCCATTAACCTATAGTATCTGACACTATCTCTTGGCATTTAGTACCTGAAGAAAGTTAAATTTGGAGGACACATGGTGAGTCAGTATCTGCTGAAACTGGAGAATTGCTTGGTTCAAATATATATATAACTTACCATTAAATAATCATTAAAATTTGAAATTTGGTTAGAATTATGCACAGTAAGATTGGGAGTAGATGTGTAAGTGAAGGTCTTGATACAAAGAAAAACTGAAGAAATTGTCCAAGTTAAAGTAGGGTGGGACAATGGCCTACAACATTTCTGACACTTTTATTGAAACTCAGGGATGGCTATTAGGTGAGTTTCTTATAAAAGTCAGAAATATTCAGATTAGTACATGCAACTCTCAATTATGTGCCTGTACTTAACAGAGAAGCTAATTACCTTGACCATATGCTTCCTCCCCTTCTCACTGGGAGTCTCTTATGTTTTCCCTTTGCCCTCTTCTTGTACACTGCATTGCATTTTATTTTAATTGCCACCTTGCTATCAAATGAAAGGGAAATATTGCTATAGGGATGGGTGGAAATTATAGGGTTTTCAACATTCCCCAGATGGGCTGGCTCCCAGACTTAGTGGCCTTGTTTTCCAGAATGTAAGTTTGAAGGTCATGGCCCAATTCCTAATCTGAGATCTGTGGACAACAGCACAGCATGTGGCTTGGAAAACATGACTTTACACAAAAGCTTTGTAGCTGAAGGAATTCTGGTTTCCTAGTTCTTCGTCTCTGTGGCCATGTCATACGACCTCTCTCAGCCTCAACTCTTCGACATAAGTTGCGTGGGCTGGTTAACTTCTAATGCCTCTTTTAGTTATAACAGCTTTCTCTAAAATTTAGGTGGGGTTCCACCTCCTTTATAACTTCTTCCTCAGCCACCCTCAAGACCAACTTAGGTGCATTTCTTCATCAAAATACATTATTATAATTCATGTTCCCCTATGGATCTTTTCCATAGATCTTCTTCCTACAGACAGAGACACTGCCTTATTTACCTTTAGATCATCAGTTCTTTCCATAATGTCCAGCCCATGACAGGCACTCAATCATCACTGGTTGAATCAATTAATAGGTTAATTAATGAATAAATTAAAAAATAGAAATAACTGACTCATGAAATTAATCACTCAAATAATTTCAAATGGTGAACTCTATTTTCTTTTTTTTTTTTCAAAGTACAATTTCTATTTATTTTTTTCCAGAGAATTTTTCTTCAGTCATTAAGAACTTAGCTTCTTACATGGGCTTTGGTGGAGGTTGTGGGGCAGCACCCGCAGGTCTAAACCGGGGTGGGGGTGTTCGGTCCTTCCGGGCTTCACGAGAACGATTCCTGACTACCTTGCTGTGAAGGGCACGGCTCACACAGGAATGTAGTTTCACATACAGCTTGGGAAGCACATAGGCGTTGAAGACACTTGCTTCAGAAATGTCCCTAACAGTTGTGGCCTCTACTATGTTTTGAATGAGGAACTTCTTAATGGCCTTGTCCTTGGGTGCGCAACGGGTGCAGCTGGTACAACAAATAGGCTGCACATGGCCAGGGCCTTTTTTGGCACAACTGTTGTTCCTTCTTTTCTTGGTCATCTTGGAAGCGAGGACCCAAGGGAGCTGAACTCTATTTTCTTTTCCCGATCTCGAGTCCAATATTACATGGTAGAGGCCTGGAAGGTAAGAAGAGACACCCTTCTAATTTTGTACTCAAGGATATGAACAATATTAACTAAAATGATTGAGTACTTATGTCGACCCATGGATAAAATTAACTTATTGATTAAACAAAACAAACCTCTGAGATAGATACAATTAATAACATTTCTGTAATGACACGGACACTGAGATTTAGTTATGGAGTGTAGTCAAGGTTTCACAGCTAGTGAGCAGGGAAGCCTGAATTTGTGGGTAGTCTGACACCAAAACCATCATCTGGCCGCTGTGAGATTATGCCTGAGGCCCAGGCTTTACAGCCAACCAGTGGCGGAGCTCGGACTCTCATCTAAACCACCATTTCCAGCATTTTCTGCCCATCTTCATGGAAGCAGACTCTGCACATAACTATTTTTAGAATTACCTGCCCACACGGTTTTGCAAGTGAACTAAACCTAATTCAGTCAAAGTAAAAGTTGCCCTTGTAACTTGTGAACTAATGAATAAGAGGTTGCCTTTAATCCACACATTTCTTCTTAGGTCTAATCACAAATAACAGCAGAGCACCACTGACTACAAAAAAAAAGAATGCAGGAACTAGGTGGCTGATATAATATTTCCATTTTATGAGAAACAAAAGTGCAATTAAGAAAAGATATTTGGTGAGATATTTTCAGATAAATAAGTACTTGGATGGTTCTACAGCGGAGGATACATCTTAAAAGGCAAAATGGGGTGTTGGTCAATTGATAGAAATAAGTATGTATTTGTACGTGTTGTGTGTGAGTGTGAATGTGTGTGCATTGAATGGAAACTGGTAAACAATGCACATATTCCATGCATGTGCAGGTATGTCTAAAGGGTGCCTGGAGTAAGGTAGTTGCTTATTCCTTCCCTATACATGAATAGCACTATGAATATTTTTCCTCACTTCTTACATACCAGATGCTTTTGATAATGTTATGACATGATTTTCATATATTATTTTTCCCCTGTTTATGTAACAAGTTAGCCCCCTTCCCCCACTGCTGGACACTCTCCATCTCCCCATGAAGAAGGTGTCATCACCTGGAGGCAGGGATGTGTATTCTTTTACGGTTGCACTGAGCTTGGAAGCAGAGGCGTTAAGCCCTGCTGTGAATGTCACTTTTCTGCTGTATAATGCCTATGGTGTTAGAAATGACAACATTCAGCGGAGATGTTTTCATTAAGTGTCTTTTGTTCGACCACTGATAGGAAAACTGTGCAACAAAAAAGAAAAACATAAACCTCCTTTCCATTTAGACTTATTAAATATTCAAGTGATTCCTCAGATATACTCCGCCGTGCTGTGGCTTCATCAAAGTGCAGCTCCATTGCATTTTACGATGGAACAGGGGTACAGTGTGCTTCCTGCAGTGGCTACCCACAAGCAAATAGATTGCTGCATTCCTCACCAGTCGAAGCTCAAAAGCAGCTCAAAGTCAAGAGTATTATAGTAATCAAGGCCGCAGGTTAGAAGCATGGATAATGATGGTAAAATCCACATCAGTGAAAAGAGAGGCCACAACTTCCTCATCAAGTGCAGATGGAAATAACAAGCAGCTATTTCTAGTCAAGGGTTAGTGCCCCTTATTCACGAAGTCACTTCTAAAGACCTGCTTCAGAAAGCCTACATGTCCATCAAGGGGTCATGTTCTCTAGAGACAGTATTGGAAATGGGTAAAAGTGATCATTTGTAAAACTATAAAAAATATCTAATATCCACAGTGAAATGATAAATGAAGAACAACAACATAAAGACATCAAGGACATATATACATAAAACTAGGATTGAAATTACTAAACATATGTAGACAGAGAAAACAGATGAGAAAAAAACAGCACACTGTAAAAACTGTAATGATGAGCTTCATTGAGTAATTATTAAGTGCCAGGCATTTTCTTTTTTCTTTTTTTAATTAATTAATTTATTTTTGTTACAAATGTTTTCTTTTTTCCCCCACTGATTCCCCCCTCCCCACCCTGTCCCCAGCTTTGTTGTCCATGTCAATTGTTCATGCATACATGCATGTAAGTTCTGTGGTTTATCTCTCCCCCACCACCACCCTCTTCTGGGGATTGTCAGTCTGTACCCCACTTCCTTGTCTCTGGGACTACCCCATTCCTTAGACTGTTATGTTCATTATATTCCACAAATAACTGAGATCATGTGATATTTGTCTTTTTCTGCTTGGCTTTTTTCGCTTAGGATAATACTTTTCAGGTCCCTCTATGTTGTCTCAAGGGATAAGAGATCTTTCTTTCTTACAGCTGCATAGTACTCCATTGTGTATATGCACCATGCTTTTTGATCCATTCATCTACTGATGGACATTTGGGCTGTTTCCAGATCTTAGCTATTGTAAATAGTGCTGCTATGACCATGGGGGTACATATATTCTTTCTGATTGGTGTTTCAGGCTTCTTAGGGTATATTCCTTGAAGTGGGATCACTGGGTCAAATGGCAGTTCCATTTTTAATTTTTTGAGGTAACACCATATTTTTTTCCATAGTGGCTGCACCAGTCTGCATTCCCCTTTTCTCTACACCTTTGCCAACACTTGTTTGATGATTTGTTGATGGTGAGGTGTCAGGCATTTTTCAAAGCTTTGAATACATATTATTGTATATTCTTCTTAAAACTATCCAGAAATACAGGTATGTGTACACATTTATAGATCAGAACACTAAGCAAATACTAAGAAGTGAGAATGGTGTACTTTGTACATTGTTTTCTTGTCGTAAATGATGTTTGGTTGTATGATAAAATTATTTACATTATTATCCCCTTTATTTTTCTAATTTTATTATACTGACTTAAAATTTTTTAAATATGCTTTGGGTTCTACGCTGCGTTCCTCCTTATATACAATATTTCACCATTAGTTTGCAGAGCTTGCTCTCCCTGAAATGCAGATTCTGAGTCATGCTGGAGCTAGTTTTTTATCAGCTTTAGCTCAGATTGTCTGTCTTTATAGAGTACCACCCAAACAACAGTCCACAGTCAACAATAAGCCCAGAAGATTTCATTTCTTTTTAAATACTCACCTGAGGATATTTTGTTTCATTGATTTTTAGAGTGAGTGGAAGAGAGGGAGAGAGGGGTGGAGAGAGAGAGATGTAAGAGAGGTACATTGATTGCTTGCCTCTTGCATGCGCCGTGACTGAGGCCGGGGATTGATGTTGCAACCCAGGTAGATGCACTTGACCTGGAATTGGACCCTTTGGTCCATAGGCCAATACTCTAACCACTGAGTCACACTGGCCAGGGTCCGAAGTTTAGATTTCAATGGGGATTGTGCACTATACCTCTTGAAATGGGATTTTGAATCTATACATGGACATGTGATATCTTTTTGTCACAAAGTCTTTCATAAAATCTGATGATATATGAAAATCATTGCTTCTTCAAGTTTCAGGAGTCAGTTTACTGTGTGGGCAGAATTTATCTGTACAAGGAATCCAGTAAAATAATCATGAAAGGTCTTAATACTAAACTCACAAAGTAAACTTAACTTCTGCATTGTCCCCTCCCACAAAATCTCTGGAAGCAACTACCTTTAATTTTAGATTGTAGTGAGCTTTTCATTCATGCATATATTCCAGAAATATTTCTTGTGTGCCCGTTTATTGTTGGGCATCTTCTAGACCCTAGGAAAGAAAGTGATTATCATCAAAAAACGGATAGAACCAGAGGAGACAGTCAAGTAAACAGGTGATGAAAATTATAGACATGTGATCCTCAAAAGATTAGTCTGTTGGCAAATATTCATACTATCAGCTCAAAAAACAGAGCAGTTAACTTTCGAAGGACAGCCTTGGAATTTCCAGACCACTGCATCCAAGTACTTAGAAGGGATTTGTTCCCCATGTTCCCCTGAAAATTCAGTATAGTCCATAAAGCAAACAAGTCAGTGTGTCAGCCTGAGTGCTCGCAAAGCATTTAATTTTTGTTTTTTTGCAAAATGCCAATAATTATCTTCGCAATACGTTAATTCACCTCACCTCCTCTTTTATGTAGGAAAGTCCCAAATATTCTAATGACCAAGTAGAGAAAACTAGTGGGAAGTACAAAAAATCCAAACTGATTAATAATCTTAGAGAGCTGGAATTCAAAGTGAATTTAAGGATTATTTTATCTAACCCATTTATTCATTGGTTTAAGCATTCACTCTCATCCTCGAGGAAAGAAAGCAGGCTGTGTGGGGGTTTATGAGAGTATACTGTATGCCAAGTGCCATGCTAGGCATTCTGTGAACTCAGGAGTTGGGGAAAATGATGGGGCAGTATTGGCTGATGAAGAGAAGGACATATACACAGATGCTATGATATGGCTTCTATCCCCAAGGAGCTTACAGCTGAGTGTACACATTAGAAACAAATAGTTATGCCTTAAGGAAGGATACCATAAGTTAACAGGTTGTTTGTTAGATGTTTAAGACAGGAGAAAGAATGCCAGTCTAAATGTAAGTCTAATCTGATAAAAAAAAATGTTAGGGATGCTGTGGAATAAAAAAAAAAAAAAAAACAACTAAATTCCAAAAAATTAACCCCTGATGCCAGTTTGTCAGAGGAGAAAGCCAGAGAGGAAAGGCCTTCTTTCTATCTTTAATCCAGTTATTTGCCCCAAAGACATATGTGCTCCAGGGTAAAAGAATAATAAAAATCCTTCTTCTTTGTCAAATAGCTTCTTCTATAGCTGAATGGTTTTCAATTGGGAAGTAAACGGTATTGAACATGGCTATCATGTTGACAATCAGACAATGAGTCTTGGAGAAAATGAGCACGTTCAAGATTTATTTGTCCTTCCAAAATATCTTTCTCATTAACAAATATAATAGTAAATCTGTGTCATGTTCTTTCTTATGTTATAGCATTAGACATAGAACAAGTAATAAAGAAATGCTTTGAATAATAT